AAGCTATTAAATTAATAAAACCTCCTTCATTTCACCAAAGCTACCTGTGTCTTCTTTTCTTTCCTTAAAATGTTTTCTATTTAACAAACCCTATGTTCTGTATTTTGAGGTTCTGGTTCTTAAAAAGATCGTTTGTTTTCTCACATATCAAGTCTTTTAATTTAAATGCAATCGAATCTTATTTTGAATTTAGTCCACAAAATGAAAACACTGAGAAAAAAAATACCAAAGTCCTAAAGGTTAATGAACAAATTGATGTTCTTGCTTAAAGCGTTGTCTGAAAGACGTTTAAAATATTAGGCGTACTATGTATACTGGTTTAGCGAAGAAATGCACACAAATGTTTTCCTGTCGAATGTCCATGGTGCCCACGAAACATTGTCCACATTTCAAAAGAAAGACAAGAAACACATGTTTACGAAAAACTTTCTCTGCTTATCGCTAGACACGTCGAAAGACGACATATATGTCTTTTGCTAACGCGAGTTAGCAGCTGTATGGCTGTGCCGCCAAAAAGGTGCCAAAATATGTATCCTTATTTTGACTTACATCTATTCTAAAATGAACCAAAACTATCAGCGTAATTAGAAAGAGTATATGTCCAAACTTCTCATCGATCAAACCGTTTCAACAGCAGTTTTCATTTGCATAGTTTCTTTAGAATAAGGAGAAAGTGGCTGTTTTTAAAAGTCTACAACTTGTCTGAAGGCAAAGCGACAAAGATTGCTTTTTGAAGACCGTAATGATATGTCTGTGTTGGTGTCTGCTCTCAACATCGTTGATGTTGTAAGCAAGGATTCCTCGAGGAGTTATTCAGGTTTCCAAAGTAAAGTAATTTCACAGCAACTGAAGTCTTGTCAGTCTATAAATTATGTGGTTGTTTTGACCTTCTTTGCTTCCTTGCTTCCTTCCTTGCTTCCTTCCTTGCTTCTTTCCTTCTTTTTTTCTTTCCTTCCTTCCTTCCTTGCTTCTTTCCTTGCTTCCTTGCTTCCTTCCTTGCTTCCTTGCTTCCTTGCTTCATTCCTTGCTTCCTTGCTTCCTTGCTTCCTTCCTTGCTTCCTTCCTTGCTTCCTTCCTTGCTTCCTTGCTTCCTTCCTTGCTTCCTTGCTTCCTTCCTTGCTTCCTTGCTTCCTTGCTTCCTTCCTTGCTTCCTTCCTTCCCTTCTTCCTTCCAAGGACAGACTCAGCCGATCTCTTATGTTAAGGCTTGTGTACAAATTTAGCCGTTAGGACAGTAATGATTTTTACGTAGGGAAAACAAAGTTTCGATTGCATGACTGAACTGAACATTTTAAAGCTCTAAGGAACAGCTGTTACAGATCAGCCATTATAGATCACATCACACTTCAACAGGACGCAACATTATTAAATAGGATTAATAAGACATCTTGGAAACAAGGCCATCGATGTACAGACTTTGTTTCATCAAATGACACGAGAAAGAACGAAGTATAAAGCTTCGACCGCTTCGCATCCATAATGGAGGTTGTTTCGAAACTTTGAATTTAGTTGTGAAATGTTACGTTTACATTTTGATGTTTTACATGGAACAAAACAAAAAACGAACACAAACTCTCGAGAGTGCGCAGTACGGACTGGAAATCATCTTTAAGATTAAATGTATTTTTTATTTCACTTAGCGTAACGGTCAATTCTGAAGATATATGTGGAAGAATACGAAACGTCAAGTTTAAGATCATAATTTTTTCCGACATGCGCTGAGTGCCTTTTATTCCTTCAGAAATTAGATTAAAACGGCCTTAAATAGGATTCAGTAGGAATGAGCAGAAAACTCATGAGATATATGAGACTTTATGCAATAAATTCAATACGAGGCTCAAAAGGCTCTTAAAAGTGTCAAATATTCGCCTGTAAACTAAACGTTTCGGGCTAGGCCCTTCTTCCTTCCAGCTACTGAAGAAGGGCTAAGTCCGAAGCCTTTAGTTTACAAGCAGCTATTTGACTCTTTTAAGAGCGTTTTGAGCCTCGTATTTAATTAAAAATAGGATTGTTTACAATTCAGTTTATCCGAAACCGTCAAAGTTCAAAAAATGTTCATCTACGGAATTCAGAAACAAATATATTTGGACCACGTTCTGTATTAACAATACTAAAGTTGTAATCAGAACGGGAGTTGACCGACTGTTCCGTTGTTTACACTGTACGTTATGTTGCTACTTTATTGACACTTGATCACAGGAAGTCAAACGTTTGCTTTCTTACCAGCTGAAGAAATTAAAGTGCACACCAAAGCAGTGATGATGAGTCGTATCAGAAAGTAAGAGGCAGTCATCGTTTCTTTTCTTTGACCAATATAACAACTCTTTTGATGACGAACTTTTAAGTTTTGTCAGTTTCCCAACCAGGTGTATCATACACGTAGGTTCTTTTCAGCTCCCACCTGTTTAAGTAAGCGACGTTATATATGCGCATGTTATTAGTATAACGCTGAAGATAATTTTTTTAGGAATCAGTAGGCTAAAACACACTGTGGCCCGCAATTCCAAGCCCATCAGTAACAAGAAGGCAAAGTTATCAGCCAATCAGAACTAGAAGTCATTCATATGCTGACGTCGTTGTCCTGCCGGCTGAAAGTACTCCAAGTGTTGCCTGATTTTACCTCCTGCTCCTCTTACCCTTAATTGTTTTATCCTAGAGAACTTTCTATCTATACTATGTAATGTCTCGAGTAGTAAAGAACAAGACAAGTTTCTTTCAACTCTTAAAATGTTGCCCTGACCATCAGCGTCAGTTTCTTGCACAGTCCGCCACTCCATAACAGATCCGTGCATTAGTGCAAATTATTACTAGCCTGTGCAAGTGAAAAATATTTATTAATATTTATTGATTTTTGAAGAAAATGTAGCAAAATGATTTCCTACAAAGTCACTCTTATCAATCTCATTTAAGCAAGATTCTGTTATCAAATTCGTCGAGCCAGACATATTCCTTGGAAGAAAAAGAGGCGCAGATCTTTTTGGAACCGTGAGCTCCAGCGAATCAGTCTGCTTTAAATTTACTCATAATTACACCCAATAGTCCTTTTCATTGTTAGCTCTTCTCATTTGCATTACAATATTATCCAGCATCTATGTGAGGCAATCACGAGCAATCTTGTAGTTTCTGCTCGAAACTGCCTCGCAACCAGGCTGGATTACGTTGTAATGCAAATGAAAAAAAATTAACCTTGAAAAGGGCTGCAATGCAAAGTCCTACACAGCTTTCGGCTAGTCACCAGGACCCCACTCTCTGAAGCAAGCGACCAGAAAAATACAGCTGAAACTCATCCATCAGGGTAGTGCCAATTCCCATTTTTTTCCTTTCTCAATCTAACTTGTTTCTTTTGCATTAAAAAAGATAATCGTTTTTAGGGCTTTCATAGGTTCCTTGTGTGGTCTACCTCAAAATAAATGACTTGAAGTCAGTAAACTTCCCGCAACGCTTCTTTGGTCTTCGAACAAGATGTATCACCGAGTTGATTGATATAATTTCGAGTTTGATTAAATTTTGGACTAAAATTCAATTCACTGGAAAGAGTGTAGTGTTTATAGGGTAAATATTCCTCTAGATATTGTTTTAAGTGGGTTATTTTACTTTCAAATTTACTAATCCATAAATATCTACAACAGCCATGTTCCATCTGTGCCTGCCATAATTTACATTATTGACCTTTGTGTATGTGTATGCATGTATGTCGAGAAATTGACTGTAGCTCTCGACCTGATCCTCTGTAAATGAATGAATAAATGAATGAAACTTTGCTAATCTATCAGTCAGTATCTGCCAAAAAAGTTTAAAAAACACTCCATCACTGCTGCACCCCTGTGTTGCACTGGGTTCAAAGAGTGACCACGGCGCCAGTACTCCTCAAATCTTCGTGCACAAAGGATATTTATTTAGGAAATAAATGATTTTATGTTCCATATGGTCAATGAATCTATTCAGGCTTCCGGTCAGGTGATAGGTAATACGATCTTGCAGTTCAACTCCTCGTTATAAGGCGTAGATGTGCTATATCCGTCCTTCTTTTCTTAAGCATTCAAGGCGAAACCAACTACGCTTTTCCCACCCACCCATACCTGTTTTTCCAGACAAAATTACTATTAGCACATGTTCGGGTATCCCCTCACCGTTGCTGGGAACAGTTTCATTTAAAGTAAGCTCCATCTGAA